TTCCATCAAACTGGTTAACATAGCCTTCATGTAACTTTCTTAGTTATTATGTCAAAACATTCATATTCTCCTCATAGAAAGATTCACTTGTACCCTTGCAAGATGAACCACAGAAGTGAACCCTCGAATCCCTCTCCCTCCCCCCTGAGATACTCAACTCTTTATTATAGGCTTTGTGTTAGATGACTTTGCTCAACAGTGGGCTAACATAAGTGTTCTAAGCACATTTAAGGTAGGCTGGGCTAAACTATGATGTTCAGTAGGCAAGGTATGTTAAATGCATTTTTGATTTAACACTTTCAATTTAATGATGGATTTATTGGGACATATCCCCATTGTAAGTTGAGAAACGTCTGCGTTTTTATGTGTCTAGTATTATTACTAGTATAGTATAAATATGATTAATAAAAATGTGTATGGTTCTCCTGAAGGAATTTTTTTTTTTTGAGACAGAGTCTTGCCATGTCACCCTCAATAGAGTGTGGTGGCATCACAGCTCACAGCAATGTTAAACTCTTAGGATTAAGCAATTCTCTTGCCTCAGCTTCCCAAGTAGCTGGGAGTACAGGCGCCTGCCACAACACCCACCTATTTTTGTTGTTGTTGTAGTTGTCATTGTTGTTTAGCTAACCCAGATTGATTGGATTCAATCCCACCAGCCCCTATGTGACCGGCACTCTAACAGAGCCCTGAAGGGGATTTTAAAAACTAAACTCATGAAATCTTCCCAGAAAATAAATGTTACAATATTTTGATTGGCTTCTAGGAAGTAATCAGTTAAATTTAATCAATTTCTGTTATCCACTAGGCCCTTTCTATGCATTATTATTAAATTCTCACAATCTGAAAAAGGAGCATCATTCCCATAGAGATAAGACTAAATGACTTGAACCCTGCCAAACAAGTGGGAAAGCTGGGATCCAAATTGTCAGGCTCCTAGACTTTTTTTCAGTGCATTACAATGACAAAGGGGTAGTGTTTTGTTTTTTTTTTCTCATCCTAGAATGTGCTGTCCCAGAGATTTTTCTAGATAGAATATTATATAATTTGTTTTCACTTTTTTTTCTGGCTATCTTAAAAATATGCTAGCATTAGAGCACATGCAGATAGCTGTAGCTCTGTGATTAAAATGTTAATACCACTAACCTAGTGTTAGGAGGATGTTAATAAATTATTCTACTGTTGCTTGTCACTACCTTATGATAGGTATATGATCCTTAACAGTATTGCTGCCTCTGCAATTTCTGTTTTGGAGGTGAAGAATTTTTAAGAAGGTGGAAAGGTGATTACTGTATTTGTAATATGGTATTGGTAAAACTGATATGAAAAATAATTTCTCAAAGTCTATTCTTTAGTTCTTTTTTTTTTT